ACATTTAGTATGGTTAGTACCTACACTTTTCACTAATAAAATGCCTGCAACTTAAAAGAGAAATGAAAAGATACAATCAAATTCCATTCTTATGATGCACACCTTACTAGCTGTATGGTGTTGTTGTTGTTAAGTGCCATCGAGTTGAGTCTGTTCCTACCCATAGGGGACCTGGACAGGGTTTCCGAGGCTGTAGATCTTTACGAACAGAAAGCCTCATCCTTCTCCCACGGAGTAGCTGGTAGTTTCGAACTTCTGACCTTGCAGTTCGATTCGGAACCACTATGCTAGCAGAGCTCCTTAGCTGTACTGTGTGGTGGTGGTTACGTGCTGCAGAGTCAGTTCCGACTCATAGCGACCCTGAAGAGGGTTTCAATGGCTGTAAATCTTTACAGGACACAAAGACTCATCTTTCTCCCACGGAACAGCTGGTAGTTTCAAAGTGCTGACTTTGAGGTTCGCAGGTCGATTTGTACCAGAGCGCCTAGCTGTATGGTGTAGGACTAGTATTTCTGAAAGACTCTGCTCCTGATCAACCAAATGGCACTGCAACTGCCCCCAAGTGGTGCCAAATAAAGGCTGCTTACGCTTCTGTCTCCTGAAAGCTTAAGTCTTTATTACACCAAGAGACCCTTCCTCTCAGTAGTTTCAGGTTTCAGGAACATCTCCATAACTCCACCCACTAGAAGCCTGCCAAAACTGTAGCTGGGCCAAAACTATAGCTGGGACGCACAGCCTTAAATATGCCAGTCTGTAAGGGACAAGCAGGCTCTTTGTCTCTCTTGACTTTGGGTTCCCCCTCCCAGGTTTACTCTCAATAAACTTGCCGGTTATTGAAGCCATGTTTCTCTAGTCTCTTTCTTATTTCTTACAATGTCATTTTTCTAACTCTAAGTGAACTCACATGTAAAATGGGCATGGTAGCAATACTTACTACTGTAAAGATTAAATAACATGTAAAAAGTGCAAGGAGCTCTGGTAGCGTAGTGGTTACAAATCGGGCTGCTAATCTCAAGGTTGGCAGTTCGAAACTACCAGCTGTTCTGCAGGAGGAAGATGAGGCTTTCTGCTCCTGTAAAGATTTCTAGCCTCAGAAACCCTGTGTAGGGGTCACTATCTGAGTCAGAACCCGACACACCATGGTGGTACTTAACAACAACAGTGCTTAAGTACACTACCTGACAGCATTCACTAAGTTGTTGCTGTTGTTAGGTAGCACTGAGCTGGTTCCAATTCTTACTCTGCACAACAGAATGAAATACTGCCTGGTCCTGCACCATCCTCACAATCATTGTTACGCTTGAGCCCATTGCAGCTGCCACTGTGCCAATCCATCTCTTTGGAGGTCTTCCTCTTTTTCATTGACCCTCTACTTTACCCGGCATGATGTCCTTTCTCCAGGGACTGGTCTGTCCACCCTGGCTTCTAAGAAGCATTTTGGCTGTACTTCAGCCAAAATAGATTTGTTTGTTTTTCTTCTGGCAGTCCATGGCACAACCCACACTGAAGGCTGTGGTCTTTAATCTGCATCAGTAAGTATTTTAAGTCCTCTTTGTTTTCAGCAAGCAATGTTGTATCACCTGTATATTGCAGGTTGTTAATGATTCATACTCCAATCCTGATGCCACGTTCTTCTTCATTTAATCCCACTTCTCAGATTACTTTGCTCAGCATACAGACTAAATAAGTATAGAAAAAGACTACAACCTGGGTGCACAATTTTCTTTATTCCATATATTCATGTTGTTGTTGTTGTTAAGTGCCGTCGAGTCGGTTTCGACCCATAGCGACCCAGAACAGGGTTTCCGAGGCTGTAAATCTTTACCGGAGCAGAGCGCCTCATCTTTCTCCCGCGGAGTAGCTGGTAGTTTCGAACATAAACGTAAAATAATAGCTAGCACTTCCTGAATTCCTAGTTTAAAATAAGGAATTCAGTAAGTGCTAACTATTATTTTATAAGCATTTATGAATATATAAAATTTATGCTTTTGACTAAACATCATTACACATACCTACTCTATTCTCAGAATGTACTACATAAACCAGAGTTGCGTGCACTACAGTGCTGTTCCAAATCACAGAGGCTTTCCATTATTTAGCTAGGTATCAATCAGGACACATTTGCAGCTGACAAGGATTCTTCTGTCCTGCACATTCATTACACAAATATTAGTTAGTATTAATTATGGAGAAGGACATCATGCTTGGTAGAGTAGAGGTCACAAAAAAAGAGGAAGACCCTCAGTGCAATGAACCGACACAGTGGTTATAGTAATGGGTTCAAACACAGCAATGACTGTGTGAATGGCACAGGACCAAGCAGTGTTCTAGTCTGTAGTACATACAGGGCCACTACAACTATATATATTTTATGGTTTGATCACTTATTTTGTAACAAACCTTTCCTGCAACAATGAATTTAAACAATGAAAGTGCATGTTTTAATGAAAAATTAAGACTTGAATTTGTTTTCCAAGAATGCTAAAAGATGAACACATAATCAGCAAAAACTACAAATATATTACATGGTATCAAGGATCACTTGAAAATCAAACCAAGTTTATCGCTGAAGAAACATTATCAAAGGCACCAATTTAACATGTGCAGCTGAATGCAGTACACTTAAGACATAACTGTAAAATACAACTTTTCATTTATATCAAATGATTCTTCTAAACTAATTCTACTCACATTCTTGTGTATGTACAAAAAGCAAAGCTGTTTATATGTTGGAACCAGTAACATTAAAAATTTGCAAACACACCTAAAGGATGCCAGTTTTACATCAGTGTCATCAGGGACTGCAAATAAAAAGTCTGTTCATTCCAGTAGTGGTATGTACATTACAGTATATGCAAAGACCTTGTTAAATCCATGTGTTAAATTTTCTAATAGTTTGTAGATTCTTCTGAATTTTCTAAGCACACATGTCTCCTGCAAATTAAGGCAGTTTTATGTATTCCTCTTCAGTTCTCAATTCTTTGGTTTCTTTTTAGGAGCTATACTTCTGTTAACTAAGTTTGACAAAATATTCAGAAGCACTATAAGAAGAATTTGTTTGATAGGTCTTTAACAAATCTTTACATAATTTAATTTTTTATATGGAGTTATTGATATTCTCATTTAGCTCTGAGTCAACCAATATCTCAACATCTCTAGAGCATTTTCTGAAATTTTTCTATTACCTACAGAAAATTACTAAATTGAAGTTATCAAGTTTCAAATTTACTAACTATAACATATAACTCTGAAGAAGGTGGTAGGCATTTTTATAAAGAAAATGAAAATATGACCGTAATGAAAAAAATGTCCTTCAGAAAAAGTCTAGGTAACGAAGTATATGAGTGGACATTACGCTTGTTAAATTTTTGGGGTCAATACATTTTAAAACATTATTTTCAATACCCTTTCACTATCAGGAATGTTTCTGTTTATATAATAAACAGTATGAGTATTCGAATTACATACCAAATTACATTGCATCTTACTGAAGAAACATTAATCATGAACTTACATGGATATGGAGAAAAACTGTTTTTGGTTCTTTTACAAGAATTATTTCTGCCTGAATGCGGATTATCAGAAACAACAAAGTTGTCTTGGGACACAAAAAGGGGGTGCTGCTGCCAGCCAGACTCACTCTCTAAAAAAGGAGTCTCATTTCAGTTAAAAAATCTGAGAAAGGATTGAAATTCACTTTGCTAAACTACCCATTATTACATACATGAGCCATACTTTAGAAACTCTTGAGAATAGTGGAAACCGTAAGTGCAAAATTGCTCAAGTGCAAGCAGTAAGAAAACTAAGCCTCTTCATTTAGAAAGTGTCTGCATGCCAGGTTGTTGTAGGTGCCACTGAGTTGGTACTGACTCATAGCAACCCTATGTACAACAGAACGAAACACTGCCTTGATCCTGGGCCACGCTTGAATCCATTGATAGATGCCAGGTACAGCCCTTTATATGTGTGATCTCATTCAATTGCTCACAATTTTGCTGGGCAGCATAATCTTCATAGCCTTCTAAATGATGAGGGTGATCTTAGGAGGACTACTTTCATTACTTCTTTACTTGGTTCTCTGTTAAAATTTTTTGCTGCTGAGCCATTTGGATGCTTCTTGAAATGTTAGCTTTCCCTGGTTGTTTAATACTGAAGGTTCTATCTCTTAGATAGTATTTTGGGGTATATATTTTTCTAAGCTCTGTTCTAAATAAAGTTGGTCCTCTCTGAGACGGTAGCAGAGCTGCCAATCATAATAGTTTGCCCCACCTACTTGGAATAGACCTTGAGGGGCCGCAGAACTAGACAGATAAGCCAGATCTTGACTAATAATATCTCAATGTTCTGAGACTCAGTAGCTTTTCTTAAATAAATGTTGAGAGACTGAATTTAGTATGCCTTATGGTTACTATCCAGAAACCCAAGTAGCTGTTTTTTTTAAGTTACCATTTTGCATACTTTATCATTACTTTTTAGGGAGAGAATCTGCCAATCTTTTTTTCTCTCAGCTAGTTCAGAAATCCTGGTATCTATCGTTTATTTTGAATTGTATTTTTTTCTTCCCTCCCAATTTTATGATTAAGAACAAACATGAAACTGAATAATTTACTGAACTTTGAGGTTCTTCATTGAGCAGACACAGGGGTAACACCATGAAATTTAGAACCACTAAAGGAAAAATGTCACCAAATCAAGACCAGGACAGCACAACATCTTCAGGATTCTTCAATATTACTTGAACATAGCACTGCCTATGCATACTCTTAAAGACTGTGTAAAACAGGTCTCCAGATAAGGTCAAAATTGCAGTTGTTGCTAAGTGCCGTTGCATTGGTTCTGACACAGTGATTCTGTATATAGGATTTCCAAGCAGCAGCTGGTGAGTTTGAACTGGCGACCTTGTGGTTAGCAGTCCAGTGCTGATCCTACAGCACCACACCAAGGGCAAGATTAGAAGCTAAATATAGGAGCTGAGCTCAATAAAGCCTAAAGCACCCTACCTGGGCTCGCTCCTCATCAAACTCCAGGCAGCCCATACCATCCAGTCTCTGTAGATCGATCCAGCCTTTCCAGATAACACAGACACCATTCAGAATCATGGGAGCCTTCAAATACACCTAAGACACAAAAATGAAAGATGAAGACCAATGAAAAGTCACTAAACATACCATATGAAAATTAAAGGATTAAGGTTACTTAGGTAAATTTCTGTGGTTTTCCTTGTTGAAAATCTAATTTTAAAATTAAGCATTACAGATAAGCATATAAACCCTTAGCCTTTGACTATATTCCAAAAACCAATTTGGCATATCAGAATTTTAGTCACAATTATTCCAGATTACATTTAAAAGTAAGTTTTGTAAACACTACAAGACTTATAAAAGCTTAAGTGAATACTTGAAATAGCCATCATTCCTTCTAGCTAAGGCTGGGACAATTGGCTACTTCGCTGACTTTTGAATCTTGGGTAGAAAGAAAGAACTGATGTGCACTTGCGTTTAGAGAGCACACATGGCCTCCCTCTACTTGAATCCCTGGAGCCAAGGTCAGACTCTTCACACGGTCTTTCACATTTTATAAGAAACACAGTAATGCTTTTTATTATTTTTTTTTTTATTGGGGATTGAAAGTTTATATGGCAGATCATCAGTTTTACATTCAATAAATCATACACCTTGTTTCATTACAATGATTATAGTTCCCTCAATGTACCATCAGTTAACAGTATTTCTCTCTATCCACTTTAGCTTTAAAAGATAAATAAATAAATAAATAAATTGCACCTCCAAAGGACACATTCTGCAAATCTGCCTCCTGTTCACCAGCTCTTAGTCCCTCTCTTCCCATGAATCTAGGGTCCTAAGCTGCTCCCCCTCTATCTCTGGCATCCCTGCTTTTCTGGATAAGGTTCCGCATTAGGCTTGTCCTCTTCTCTCTTGATGGTCCTAGGGTCCTCTGTTTCTGGACTGTAAGATTAACCACTTCCCTGTTTTTGTTACAAAACTTCTACCTTTACAATTGTGACAGGTGCAATTAGTCATGATAACAACTATTCACTATTGAACCATAGGAATCTTATACCCATCTCTTTTCACCAGACCCATCTACACAAGATGAAATCTATTCAGTGGGGACTCTTTCTTTCCCCCCATACTCTTAAACTAAACTCCCTCTTGAAACCTTATAAGCCAGTCACTTCGTACCTTTATCGCCCCCTCATTTTAGGTAGCCAATGTCTAAGTTGCCCGTCCCTATCTATCCTGTGTACAGAGGGGATGTGAAGACTCCTTCCCTCTCTGTTAGTATTTAGAGCTACTACCTCCATGAGTATAGGTCAGTTTAATCATATTTTAGCAATTTACCCATTTCCTTTATTAAAAAAAAAAAACACAAAAAAACTTTTTTTCTTTTATAATCTTCATCTAGTTGAGTTCTGATTATCAAGCCATTAAGGCTATGTCAAACGGGTACTGTCTACAAGTTTGGGTGTTCTTGTGCATCTCCCCTCACACATCGTATCAGCTGTATGCTTCACTCTCAGCTCTAGCCCTCTGTGGCTATGTCCTTGTCCATGGACTCAAGTATCCTCAGGTCTCACCACACTTTGGACCAACCAGCCCTTCCTCTTCTCTCTCTCATCTCCAGGTCAACAGAAGTCAATGGACTGTGGTTGAACTCAGCCCATTTCTTCATTGCTGCCTTTCCCCCTCTTCCACTCACCAGTAGACCAATGTGTTCTCCAGCAAGCTTACATGCCTGTTTATGTCTTCCCTTTGAATTTCAGTCTTACAGGGGAGTTTGTCCTGAAGGAACTTGATTGCTTGCCTTGATGGCCTCCTGGCAAACAGCTTGCTTATTCTTGCAGCACCCAGTGATGCTGACATTTTTGTTTTGGGTTTTTCCTGATGATCTTTCTTTGAAGATGTATCTTCTGTCACTGTAGCTGTTCTAGGTTTGTCTGCTTGTCCTTGCTAGTGGGAATGTCCCACCTCATAAGGTTCTGGATGGGACTCAGGATTCTACCTAAGGTCCTATGCTCTGTAAAGGTTTTGCAAGAGGCCTATTTCACTGGGCAAGATCTAGAACCCCTTTTAGGTATTCCAATCAGTTATAGGCTGAATGAAGATGGGCTTACAAGTTTTCTCTAATCATGTTTCCCAACATTCCTTTCTATCCCACTCAAGTGTCTATTTTAAACTAATATTCATAGGACAGTCAAACATTTAGTATTATTTCCCCTCTTCAAGCTATACCTAGATCCTTGTATCCCATAGCCCTGTTGTTCCAAGATTGAGCATGCATCTCTGTCCCACTTAGGACATGCAAACCTGTCTCACTGTTCTCTTATCTTGTTCTTCCGCCTCCTCCCCCTTCTTTTATTGCCTTTCCCAACACCCGAACTAAACCTCCCACCCCAACCCCACTGTTGTGGTTACCTTATATTCCATTAGCTCTTCCCTCCATTTAAGACAGTCTATTTTATCCTGTAATCTACCTGATCTTCCCACCACCTGGATGTGTATTCCTGTTTACCTTCTTTCACATTGTAATTGTTTTGATCGGAGACTGATCTCCCAGATCCTGTTCTTAAAATTTTATTCTGTTCTTGACTCTTCCATTTGTCAACTGAGTTCAGGGTGATGCTGCCATGTACGTCATTCTCTAGTTGTTGTCCTTTCTTGTTGGTTCTCAGTCCATAGAACTTCCTTTAGAATGTTTTTCATAGCAGGATTGACTCTGGCAAAATCCCTTAGCTTCTGTTTATCCTGGAATGTTTGTTAATTACACCATCATATTTGATTGACAGCTTTGCTGGGTAGAGGATTCTTGGGTGGCAGTTTTTTTCTTTCAGGGTTTTATATATGTCTCCCCATTGTCTTCTTGATTTCTATTGAGAGATCCGAGCCTAGTCTGATTTGTTTGCCTTTGTATATTACACTTCTCTTTTCCCTAGCTGCTTTCAGGATTCTGTCCTTATCTTTGATTTTGGAAAGCTTGATTATTATATGTCTTGGTGATTGTCTTTAAGCAGCTATCCTTCCTGGGGTTCATTGAGCTTCTTGAATGTTTACCTTTCCGTTTTTCAGGATGTTAGGAAAATTTTCTTCCAGAAGCTCTTCAACTATTTCCTCTGTGGACTTGTGTGATTCTTCTTGTTCCAGAATGCCGTTAATTCTTAAGTTATTCCTCTTCATGTTGTTCAACATCAATCTCAGGCCTTCTTCAGATTTTTAAAATCCTTTTTTGTGTTTGCTCTTCTATCTTAGTACTGTTGAGAGATTTATCTTCTTGCTCACTAGGTCTGGCTTCTATCTCTTCAGTTCTACTCTTTTGCCCTTTCAGTGTATTGTCCATT